GTTAGTTGTACGCTCTGGTCTCATGCCTCTTCCTTACCATCGCTCTACAACACTGGCGACGAGGATGGGATGGTCGAAGGCTAACCAGACGCGTCTATTCAAAGAGCTGTAAATCACTGAGAGTGAAGTCACGAGCGCTGTAGCCGCAGCCGCGCAACGCTCACAAAGAGTGCGAAATTCAAACTGCCATTACCCGAGCTGTAGTCACTGAAACGAGCCACCGGCACCGTAGCCGCGGCCGCCAACGCTCACCAAGAGCGCGAAATTCAAAAAGAGCTACGTAGCCCAGAGAGACAGTCACAGCCTGCGCTCTTTTAAGAGCACGATTTCAAAGACGATTGAAGAAGACGAACCCGACACTACCCACAATGAATACTAATCCAGCATTCCCGCCATTCAAGCCAAACGAGGAAACGTGGGACTCCTACAAGAATCACTTCAGCCATTTCCTCGATGCCATCGGGTTAGCTGACGCTGCGGAACATAAAAAGAAGTCTTATTTTCTCAGCTATTGTGGGGCCGCCGTTTTTGACACCGCTACAGCGTTAGTCGCACCACGCGCCATCAGAAGCGTCCCATGGGATGAGCTACAAGAAATACTCTCCAATCACTACGTGCCAAAACCATCTCAGATCGCCAGAAGGTATGCCTTCAGAATCAGGAAGCAGGCAGTGGGGGAGTCGATCAACGAATACATGGCTGCCCTGAGGACAGCTGCCTTACAGTGCGGTTTCAAAGAATATCTGGAAGACATGCTGCTGGACCAGATCGTCTGTGGGGTTAGAGACCTGAGACTCCAAAGACGTTTGCTGGCAAAAAAGGACTTGAATCTGGCCCTAGCCATGGAGGAAGCCCTGGCTGCTGAGCTCTCTGCCCAGTCAGCAGCTGAGATTCAGGGCCCTCCATTAAAGCCCAGCAGTCCAACCATCCATTCTGAAGAAGTGCTCAGTGAAGAAGACCCCACAGACTCATCAGACATTAACCACCTTAACCATCAGAAGCCTCCACAGGTAGGAGCGGGGCAGAGAAACAACTTCGCCCCCAAACAACCTCCCATTTGCCTAACCTGCGGAGGCTCCCACTCTAGGGCATCCTGCAGGTTTAGAAACGCCATCTGCCTGAACTGCCAAAAGAAGGGTCACCTCGCTAGAGTATGCCAAGCAGGGCGCTCCTTGCCTCAAAGACCTCCACCACTTTCTATTTCCCAAAGGCAAGTGGAGGACTGCTATACCTGCTACCACGCTAACCATACTTCCCAAACCCCTGATAAAATTAAAATTTCTGTTTTCCTAGAAGGTAAACCCTGCAGGATGGAGGTAGACACGGGATCTGCGCTCTCAATCATCTCCTGGGACACTCTGAAGAAGATCCAGCCCAGACTGTCAAGGAAACAGCTCCAAAGATGCCACCTGACACTGAGGGACTACCAGGGCAAGAACATTCCTGTCCTCGGGAAAGGCAAGTTCCTCGTTCAATTCCAAGCCTTTAAAGGCCATTTGCCTTTAGTGGTTGTTAACGGTGCCCTCCCCAGCCTGTTGGGACTTGATTGGTTTCCTTCCCTTGGCCTTAGTGTAACTGGGATCCATGCTGTCTCAACTTCTGACGTAGATACATTATTTTCTGATTTTTCTGACGTATTTAGCAGCGAGCTGGGTTGCTATTCGGGCACCCCCATCTCGTTTTCTGTAGATCCCCAGGCAATTCCTCTCCGCCTTAAGCCACGCAGGGTGCCTTTCGCCATCCGTCCTAAATTGGACGCAGAATTAGACAAACTACTTAAACAAGGGGTGTTAGAACCTACTGATTTTGCCAAATGGGAGACCCCCATAGTCACCCCACTCAAGAAGGATGGCAGTTTAAGGATCTGCGCAGACTATAAAACCACGCTCAACCGTTATTTACAGGTCAGCGCATACCCCGTCCCTGTTATTCAGCATCTGTTACACACATTCGAACCCGGTACCATTTTCGCCAAGTTAGATATGTCCCAGGCATACCAACAGTTCCCTGTTGATGATCAGACAGCTGAATTACAAACCATAGTCACGCATAGAGGGGCATTCAAATGTAAGCGCCTCCAATTCGGGGTCAGTGTGGCCCCGGGTATTTTCCAATCACTCATGGAATGGATTCTCCAAGGTCTCCCAGGAGTTGTTCCGTATTTCGATGACATCTTAGTCTCAGCTACTAGCCGACCTCAACTCATTCAGAGGGTCAGGACAGTGCTAGAGAAGTTTAGGCAGCATGGCCTCAAACTTAAAAGGGAGAAGTGCGCCATCGCCACTAGGCAGGTGGACTTTCTGGGTTATAGGATAGACGCCTCTGGCATCCACCCAATTGAGTCCAAGGTGAAGGCCATCCACGAGGCACCCACACCAGCCAACAAGACTGAACTACAAGCCTTTCTGGGGCTTCTAAACTTTTACGCCTCATTCCTCCCGCACAAAGCATCTGTCGCTGAACCCCTACATAGACTCTTAGATAAAGACTCACCCTGGCATTGGGGACCCAAAGAAGCCCATGCTTTCAAATCAGTCAAATCCTTACTCACATCGGAAGCGGTTTTAGTCCAGTTCGATCAACGCCTTCCTCTGGTCCTGGCTGCTGACGCATCCCCTTTTGGGATTGGGGCTGTCCTAAGCCACAGACTCCCCAATGGCTCCGAGGCACCAATTGCCTTCTTTTCTAGGACTTTCTCCACGGCAGAAAGGAACTACAGCCAAATCGATAAAGAGGCCCTGGCTGCGGTTGCTGCAGTTAAAAAGTTCCACGAATTCTTATTTGGCCACCATTTTGAACTTGTGACTGACCATAAACCTCTCCTAGGACTCTTATCTGGAGATAAGCAAACCCCACAGGTACTTTCACCCAGAATGACCAGATGGACTTTGTTTCTGGCCGCCTACTCATTCAAGTTGGTGCATCGTCCTGGCAAGAACTTGAGTCATGCTGATGCCCTCGGTCGCTGCCCCCTGCCAGTCCCAGTCGAGGACCCTGCACCAATTCACGCCATTTTTGAGGTCAATGAACTCAAACTTCCAGTGACAGCCGAAGACATTGCGGCGCACTCAAAAAAAGACAAAATAATCGCCCAGGTTCTGGACTGGGTGGGAAGGGGGTGGCCGGAAACTCAATGTACAGTTGACTTTGTTCCCTTTAAAACCCGCCAGCAGGAACTGTCGAGGCTACAGGGATGTCTATTGTGGGGTACAAGAGTAGTCATCCCAGCCACCCTTCGAGTACCCATCCTGAAGGTGCTTCACGAGGGCCATCCAGGCATCATAAGGATGAAGGCGTTGGCCCGCAGCTACGTTTGGTGGCCCGGCATGGATGCTCAAATCGCCAACTGGGTAAGCTCTTGCCAACCTTGCCAAGAAACCAGGGCTGCCCCGCCAGCCGCCACACCCACCAGGTGGGAAAGTGCTAGTGCCCCTTGGTCTCACCTGCACATCGACCTGGCTGGACCAGTGCATGGCAAGACTTTCTTGGTGGTCGTGGATTCCTACTCCAAGTGGATTGACGTGGCCTTGCTTCCCACGACCACCACCCAAGCAGTAGTCAAAGCCCTGACACGTTTGTTTGTCACCCATGGACTTCCAGACACGCTGGTGTCTGACAATGGCCCGCAGTTCACGTCATGTGAGTTCAGTATGTACATGGCTAATTTGGGCATCAGACATGTCCTTACAGCTCCCTTTCACCCCGCTAGCAATGGGATGGCAGAGAGAGCGGTAAGGTCAGCCAAGGAGGCACTCGCCAGGTTTGGCCAGGTAGACTGGCACTCTAAACTGTCTCGTTTCCTGCTTAGCCAACATACGACGCCCTGCACCACCACTAACAAATCTCCCGCCGAACTGTTAATGGGGAGACGCCTTAGAACCACCCTGGACAGGCTACACCCCCACTACTGCCCAGACACCCCTTTAGGGTCTGACAGTCTGGTCAGAGACTTTGCCTTGCAAGACCTGGTGTACGCCAGGAACTATGCAGGGGATCCTTTGTGGGTACCAGGTCAAATCGTGTCAGTCACAGGTCCAAGATCCTACAGGGTCCTCCTGGAAGATGGACGCTTGTGGCGAAGACACGTGGACCAACTCAGAAGGTGACGTGCGGCTGATACCAACCCAACCCGACCTGCCAGCGCCAACGTCTCCCTGCCGGTGCCAGACGGAAGCTCCCTGTGGGACCCGGTTTTCCCCGACGAACAGGAAAGTCTACTGGAGAACCCGAGTTTCCGGCCAGGATCACCGACTCAGCAGCCGAGCGTTCCAGTTTGCCAACCGGACCTCGAGACTCGCCCGGGTCAGCCCGAGCAAAGGGACTCGCCGACTTCGCAGAACACCACGCCAGGGCAA